TTGTATTTGTTTCGCCAATCTGTGCATTTACATCTGCATCAGATCCTCCTCGTTTATTGGTGATGTTGTCCAGGTACGTAAAACTTTCCACCTGTTCCAGAACTTCTCCATCAAGTGTGATTGGGTTGATGCTCACTGTGTTATCCTTCCTGATTTTAATTTTTCCGTTTTGAATATTGAGGTCTACTGCTGTAAGGGTTGCTGCTATATTGGCTGTCTCTACCTGCATTTTTTTACTGTGTATGAAAATCAACCGATTGTGTTATACAAATCAACCTTAAATGATCACTTTATTTTACTTACGTAGTGTATGTATCAAAAATATAACCGAAGAAACCATCACATTAGCAGCGATGAATGTTTTCAGTAAATACTCTTTAGCTGTGTCTTATTTCAACAAATAAAAATATTCATCTTTAATATATACATATTTTTCTTACCTAATAATGAAATCATAGCTATTACATTTTTGTTTGAAATACAAGATTAAATTGGTGATACATTATATACTATTGAAGAATAAATCCACATAATGCTTTGGTGCATACACTCTTTTAACCTGGAAGCCTAACAGGATAAATTACCTAGGTTTCGGTTTTAGTAAGAAAGTTAAGATTCAGCGTCAATCTTAGCGGTTGTTGGTTTGCAGCATAATTAATAACTTTACAACTGATCATTCCAAATTTACAGTTCCAGTAAGTTGTAATATCAAATTAAGTAATCAGTCAAGTTTAAGGTAGTTGGTGATTGCATAAACCTGATAAGTTTATGGCTGCAAAAATATAGCTTAAAAGTCTTCCATAATTTTGGTAAATTCGTATTGAAGCAGAATGTATATAGGATTTATGTTGTTTATGAGTTATCAACAGTATATTCTACGTTGTTTTCTAGCCGATGAGAACCATGGGTTATGCACTTCATTACGTAGTTCACGGATTGTTGCATAATATTTTATGAATGAGAAGAATGAGTTTTATGAAGTTTTACCACATTGATGATTCAATTAGATATTTCAGCCACCAGTCACTAAATAGAACGAGTGGTAGAAGTAAAATATAGAAACGAGTCAATCATAATATAAAAAGTACTTACTAAATGACGCCTGTTACTCCTCGTGGAGGATAATTAGCCGCCCACCAGGATTCTCCAACGACATCTGTCCAGTTGTTTCCAGTTGCTATTCATTCTTTTCATGACTGCTTCCACTTTCAAATGCAATGTGTTCCTTAGTAATATAAAAAGTATTTTCCCGATTTTGTTCTAAATTCGAAAGTGAATGGCTTTTATATTATATCGCGTAACACACAAGTAATAATAGCACTGCTATGTGGTCCTTAGAATGTCTGAAATGATAATGTAAAATAACTTTTTGACATAGAATAAAAAAAGTGTTAGACTTATCAGATGCTCAATACTGTACATGTGGATTGTATAAAACGCTCAAATGTGTTTAAATCATAATCCTAAACTTTTAATCTTAACATATACTCTAATGTTTAACCCGTAACCCTAATTATAGGCAACATTTGGACTCATCCAAATCTGTTTGGGTCCTCATGAATTTAGAGAAAACTTAACATCTAAATTCATATGGACCAATTTATTTGTAAAACACTGATTTATGAACGAAAAATATTTTATTCAATGCATTATCTCCAGGTCATACAGTTATATATTCAAATTGATAATCCAAAAACTGATAGGTTTATCGCAAAATATGTTTTCTAAAATTATAGACTGTTTATTGAAAAGTAGTCATAGTGCTAGCATAAATCAATGATTTTCAATAATGTGTCGGTTCAGCAATTTCTTAGTCAAGTACTGTTGTCTTTAGCGTGGGGGTTTTGTGGAGATCGTAGTATATTCATAGTTGAAATCACGAACTGATCTTAGCTGAGCCAACAAAGGTAAAAATTAAAGTATTAATTAAGATCATGAAACTAGGTCTAGCATTGATGCTAGACCACCATTGAAAACCTGTAAGCACTAGACAGCTTTTACTTCCTAGTATGGGACTCTTCAGGAGTGAACATTCACGAAATTGAACTCAGGATCTTCAGTCTCGTGAGCGAACGCTTAACGTCTAGACCAAAGGTCTCGGGTTCGATTTCGCGTCCAGAATTGTGGATACTTACTATTATTGTCTTAGTTATTTTTAATCAAATATCCTTGTATTATTATTACTGGTTCATTATTACTATTAATCTTCCGAACACATGAGTAGTTTAATTAGCTTTCAAGCCGCTTTATTATTTCATAATGAATTCATATAACTTTATACACTGTATAATCTTAGACTAAACATTTGATCTTATTTGTGATTGCATTATTATTTCTCCTAATTTATGTTACCTATGTCTATACTGATAACTAATTCTACAATTGTACTTAACGTATGAGCTTGTTCAAGTTAACACTATATATTAGTCATTTCAACATCATTAATGTTGTTTTATTTCAGGAACAATCTTAAATTTACTTGCTATAATTTTAAACAATGTATTATCCTTAAACATGGCCACTTTTGGAATTATTAATTTGAATATACAACTGTAGAACCTGAAGAGATGTTACTGAAAAGAATATTCTTCGTTCATATGTCAGTATTTTAATGTGATGCGGATTCTTTAGTCAGACAACATATTTTTTATTTTTTCGATTTACAAACAAAACAATATATAGAAGACACTGATAGATTCATCATTCATGTAAAGTCATTTTATCCTTTTTTATACTGTTGTTCATTTCTCATGAACTACCTATTTGTAGAAGCTGTTTTCTGATTGACTGACAGATGGCTAAAATTCGTCGTGATTGTTTTAAGCTGAATGTTTTTAACATGAAATGTTTAACAGGTGATGAGAAAACCTTAATAAATCTTGTTCAAGGGGTTTGTAAGTAATTATTCATTTTATCAAAAGCTAGTTGCTAAATGTATGTGAATAGCTCAAATAGAACAGATGTGATTTGAATAGATTAAAGGATGCATACCAAGGTCAATTTATTCATGAAACTGCACCATTTAGATGCTAAGCAGAAGTAGTCAGATGTCTCGTCCTCGCATATGACTCCCCAAGAGTCTATACCAGTGGCCTCACACAGGATCGAAGCTTAGAATTTCAGATCTGGTGGTCAGGAGGATAAAATTTGGTTACCATTTTGAAATCTAGTTCTCCAGGCTTTCGAACTGAGTTGATTTATTTTACAGCTCAGTGTTTCATAGGTCCCAGCTTCGTGAAGAAAATTCGAGAAATCTACTGTAAAGTTAATATATAATAATTAACTATAACTTCTTAATTTTCAGTCGTCATCCAGGTAATGTTGTTTTATTATGAAACCTACGTTTAAAATATAAGAAACCTGAGCAAAATATATATTCAACACTGCAAGTAATCTTTGATCCTTTATTTGTTCACTTTGTAATATGTTCTTACCATCTTTAATCTAGTATTATTTTCATGTATACTCATTGCCTAGCTGAATAGCTAACAAGCGTTTATACATTCATCTATTATTTCTACAATCATCTTTATATCTCCCAAATAAAAAAAATGTCCAGATGTTAGTCTGTTTTATTGGTTACATTTTCTGCTACACCAGTTACCTTTATTATTTCTAACATTGGAAATCATTTACCTATTCATCCAATATACTAGTTTATTTCGGATGTTTCACGATTCGTCTCAATCTCATGCTTAGTAAACGTGATCATCTAGAAACGTATCATATTTTCTTGTTATTTAAGTAATTCCTATCATTACAAGCTGATTAGGATAATATTCAATTAGAATGATTCTCGGATTATGTATTTGCCATTTACATCCCAATAAAGTCTTGAATCTGTAAACGTTTTCTGAAAAATAGTATGCCTATGCTAGCAGAATACGTGTCCACTTATTTGTATTAATTATTCTCTTGCTACAGGTTTATAAATGAAACTGTTGACGGATAGTAATCAGCTAAGAAAAGTTCAGTCATAGCTTAACTATTTTTTTCTTGATATTGATAAGTATGTGGTTTCTGTCACTGATTGGTCATTAGTTGTGGCACTAACGAAAGCTATGACCACTTGAATATTGTTTTGTCCCGGTTCGAGGCTCTTCAGTGGTTACCACATAAAATCCTTTACAGTCTGAACAGAAGATGTTTAGTTTTCGTGGCAGGTACTTAACATAGAGAAACCTGATATGGAATACAATAAAAAAAAATATCCAATTTCAATTGAGTGGGGATATAATGTTTTGGTCAACCAACTGTCATGTACCTACTAGTGACTTTACTTGGTATCCACCGATTACAAGAACAAATAATCATTATGAACTTATCGAAGTCACAGATATGGATCAGTGGATTTAAACTCAGTATTCTTAAGGTTAAACACTTGTCGCCGGACCTGACAGTCTTCCATTTATTCATTGAGGGTGTTGTGGATGAATTTTCCTTAGGAATCATAAACCAGAACAAAAAAACGTCATATACTCTCTAACTTGACGTGACACTCCAACTGCTATTAATTTATTATGTAGAACCAGACAAATTAAATATATCTACATAAAATCTATCGACCATAATAGTAATCATATTTTTTAATGTAAACCAAATTAAATAGAAAATTAAGTGAATTTTATACGTCATTAGTTAGATGAATAATATGACCAATCACGTTTTCCAATTTCATCACCATCCACATAATAGTAATTACAGTAATCATAACTGTTATAAAGTGTATGTATAGATTTATATATTTATACCAATGGACAGAGTAAAGTTCAATTGATGTATATAATCATAAATATAAATTAAATAATCTATAGATTAACTGTATTATCTCTTTAGTGTTTACGTCTGTAATATATTTTTCTTAAAAAAAGCAAACAGTAATTATCAAAGAATAATTACAGAAAGGCACATTGATTTATGAAATCAATATAATCATTGAAGGGAATTTCAATATTGTTTACTATTGTGAAGAAGTAAAAAATTATTCTGATCGAAAAGGGATGCAAGAATCTTTAATTGATGAGATGAATATTCGTCGACGTCATGATGAGAAAAATATGAAAACCGCATCAACACAATCATTAAATAATTTAAATTTACAATTAAAAGAGTTTAAAATAGCGGAACAAACTAATTCCAATAGTCCAGATAATGATAAGCATAGATTTGTACATGATGTTGTCTGGTGTGATTTAGCTGAACAATTTCGATTGAACTTAATTACACAGTTAGATGAGCATTTAAAAGTATCATTGAATGACCTAGTAAGTACAGCAATTTCAAGAGATAGTTATTTACAAAGTACACAAGCACTTAATGACTGGATGACTGATAAGTAAGTTGCTTCTATTTAGTTACATCTATTTCTTATTATTTTTTACATGTGTATATGTGTGTATTGTTTTTTATGTGATTAAGTTCAAGATGATTTATTTTTTAACTTATCATCATGTTATCGAACGGTGTTTTTTCTTGGATTACTATTATTATTATTATTATTATTATTATTATTATTATTAATTAGCACTATGTTTATGAAATTTAGGCTCTCAATAAAATGAAAAATACCAAGTTAGAATGAAACAGCTGATAAGTAGTTATTTAAATGAGTTTAGATTCAATTCAACAAGCCTAGAATGTTGATTAGTGATAAAGCAGTCGACGAATGTAAAGTGGCCATTGGATTGTAACATTTTATGAACATCTAATTTTTACCTGTTGATTCTGAACGCATAACCACTGATTAAATTGAATTTAAAATATCAAAACATTCAATGTGGATAAACATCATGTTTTATCATGTATTGTCCAATTGTTATACTTTGACTAACATTTTCACATGAATAGGTATATTCAGAAATATAGACTCTAAATTAAATCAACGAAGAGATTTAATTTTAAAGATCTTTTTTAATTCCTAAGGAGAGCAAACAAATAGCTTTCATGACTATGAATTAGTAAAAACTATTTAATACCAGGAAATATATATTAAATATTGATTTGAATGAATATTATTCAAATGATAGGTATGAAATGATTCTTGTGAAGTCCTCATAGCCAGGTAACTGCCACAGTTAAAGTGAACAAACATACCCCAGATATTCATCTGTTTTGTTGTTTTATAAGATGTAAAATAAATAAGTAAAGTTCACAAGTTGTATTGAAATGGTAACTATTCCTTAAGATGACACAAAATTTTTATACGTAACTGGGTTTTACGATGACACTCATTTTTAAGTCATATCTTTGAGTCTTTACCAAAGTTCCCATTTAGACTAACGTTAAAAAAAGATGGTTTGCCTAAAAAATGCTGCATAATTAAGTTTATATTCCAATGATGGTCTGCACATATTACCTTTACTACAAGTATAATCAACAGTGTTCTCATTTTATGTAACATTTGATTCGTCTTGGTTTGACGTTTTATTGTTCTTTTGTTTCCATTTTGTTACTGTCACACAAAATATCGGTTATCGATTATGTTAGTTTTGTCACTGTTTTTTCTTCAGTTTCGATTTGTTGGCATTACATTGAAAATAACTGAGTATAAAATATTATCACTGTACCATTACCAAGTTAGGTTATTGCATAATGATACCACGGTGTTTTTTCGTCTAGATGAATCATTCAGGTAGACTTATACAAGCACATTTCTCATTAGAGACTAGTTTCAACTGAAAAAGCGTTTTAAAATGAAGGACCACTGGTGATTCGTTTCGTCATTGGTCGAGACTACTCAGTGAAAACAACTATGTAGGGAGTGAAGCAATTATCACTGATAACAGTGGATGGTTGTCACAATAAGTGGCGAATAGAATGAGGTTAGAGCTGTAAACCATAGAGTTCGACTCATTGGTTTAAAGATATTTTGATTCTCGTGCAATCTGAGTATATTGAGTTGTAATCCATGTGGAACTGTGAATGTGCGTTCTAAACTTAAAAAAAAAACACATGTTAAGTGGTCCTTACTTTCAGACGGTTATCCAGTCAATACATGATATGCTTTAGATGAATTATGCAAAAACAGAATAAATTTATTTTTTAATGACGGTTATGGTTAGATATCATCCACTTTCACTACTATTTTCCAATTATTTTCATACGAGTATCATATATACAGGAAATAAACTTTTCCTGATGAAGTATCTAGTTTATTTAAAATGTAACTGGATAAGTTACTTTTCTTGCATTTATAACATTTAGACAACTTGACTCTGATAATAGATTGATACTATTGAACGATCGTTTATATCCTTAGCAAATTTTTACAATAAAAGTAAAAACAAATGTCATTCCAGTGAGCTTAGTAGCTTTTATTATTAGGACATTGTGAATGTACTTCTACTAATAATATACTTAGTTTTAAATAACTGAATATCCCCAAAATATTACAATTCCGTATAAACAATAGAACTGGAGGAGAATCGTAGCATAAAGTATTATCATGTGGTATTCAGTATGATTGACTAACTTAACGTCAAAATCAGATATAAGATATAACAAGATATTCATCTATGGGAAAACTTACGGGAATGAAACTCTGCCTATAGTTTCTATTTAGTTTTAAATCAGGCTAAACAAAGATTTGCAATATGTTTACTAATTTAACACTGAGTTAGAAAAATATGGACTATTAATTTACGATGCAGTAGTTAAACGGCGTCATGCTCACCGTAAGATCAGAAGAGTACAAGCTGAAGGTTATATTGACGCGTTCCAAATGAAATCGAAAAAGCCGTTTACTACTCTCCTCTCTACAACTGTTTTTCAACTGTTGTCAATTCATGATGTTTAAAATTAAAAAGCTCTCATGAATAGTGAATGCTACTTAAATGCATCCATCAACATACCAGATACACAATACGTACATATTTTGAAATATTTATCCGATAGACATAGAAAGACATGACTCCTTTGTGTACAATTGTGTCGTTTTTTGTCAAGCATTTTTCTCTATTCGATTATTCCATATTCTACATTGTCTAAGAATATCATTTGAAGTGTACTTTTATAATGTTGACCGTCATGTGCTAAAATGTATTTACTTGACATTGTTAAGTGTATAATTGTTAATGAATGAAAATAAGTATAGTTTTACCAATTAATTTCATCACGGCAAACATTTTTTCCAATGTACACTAGTGTGATGAACTGAAAAACACTATTTGTAATCTACGCTATTTCAAATAAATATTTTCGTCCTGACATTTTTTAAAACAAAACAAATGTCTCATCAACATTAAGAAGTTTTGTTTATAGTTTCAATTAACAGTAGTGAACTTCATCAAATATAATAAATAATTTGTTTTTTCAGGAATTATTCAACTTTTGATAACTACAAATTAAGGTTATCTGGATTGATGTTTCTTAATAACTCGGACAAGTATACGACACTTGGTTGTCACACTAGTGAGGTGGCTGAGCAGGAATAACAAATACATCAGCCGTCATTTATATTGATATGAGATGGTGTCCAGTATAGAATCAGTGTAGAAGATCTCAAGGAGCGATTAGACCGTGAAGTTTTTTGGCTGTCGGTCTGAGACCTATGAGATAATTTAGACTTTCTGGTTATGGTCTGCATGATCATTCCTGTATATGGTTGGAGATACTGAATGAGTGTCTTCGGCATTGTTTGTCGAGACAGATGTATTCATTCATTCGCTTATTTAAATCTGGATATTTTATACCATTCATATTCATCCTCACTCAGTTGTATTTTTGAAGTTTACGACTAAACAAAAATAAATATTATCTTTTCAAGTACTTTTCCTTTAGTTTCTTATAGATTTTCTTTTCCGGCACTAGTGTGAACTTTGGTCGATGAACATTTGTTTATGACTGATTGATTGCTATTAACAAAATGAGAATCATGTTTTCAAACATAGTAACACATATATTAGCGGAAAACAGAATTCCTTTTTGTGAGATAAGCTTACTAACCAAACAACCAAAACTTCTTTACCGTGGTTTAGGACGGACAGTAGTCATAGATGGAGTTGTTATGCATTTATTATTAGTCTTACACGATTTTCATCCAAATTATTGGCTGAAAGAAAAACCTATGATAATTTAGTAGTTATTGACCAACATGAATTATCCTAACATAACTGAAAAAAGCAGTGTTTGAAAACAATCAGTCAGTCAGCTACAACGTAGGACCAGGCACATATATGCATCGGTCCAAGTTGCCATACCGCATTAGCACAACAAGATGAACACCAGATTCATAGAAGTAGTTAATTCAGTGGTGGTAATATATAAAATGAAGATTGCATATAAGGAGATAGTACAGGAAGAACGAATTAGTTCGTAGAAAGGAAGATATGAAGCGATTTTAAACCCTCAGTTTAAGGGAAGACAGAGAGTGTATACACCGACGCCATTGTGATCGATTCTGACCAACCATCCCCGATACTAGTCAACATTGCGCGTCGTGGTAATCGGTGTTCAGGCATGCTCAACACGTGGCCCAACCATCTCAGTCGATGAAGATTCATAACCTCATCAACTGATTTACCATCATTCCCTAATACCCTGTGTCCAGCCTCATTATTACTTACCCGATGATCCCAGCAGATACCAGCAATATTTCTAAGGCACCTGTGGTCAAATACTAGTAACTTACGAATATATTCCACTCTTAAAGGCCATGTTTCGCAGCCGTATAGTAGAACGGAACGAACTGAAACGCAGTATACTCGTCCCTTAATTGATAGACGGATATCTCGCCTTCGCCATAGACGACGTAAGTTGGCAAATACCAAGCGAGCTTTTCGAATCCGTGCTGAGATTTCGTCAGACACCAACCCATTATGGTTATGTACTAATCATTTGTTATTTATCCTCGAATCCATTTTGGTGATGCAATTTTTTCTATCCTCCTATAGATATACACTTTCCATATAACTATATATACGAATGTACAGCTTAAGTAAATGACTTCGTCGAAAAGAAAATTTTCTTCGCTGAGTTCTCTTTTTCTTACTTAATAGAATAATGTTCAGGATACTAACCAAAAGAAATACAAGATTTTCTGTTGGTGAAATACATAGACGGGTCTTTTCAAGTTTATTCAATACAACATACCCTTCATATATAGTTTAAAATCTATATTTACACAACCATTGAAAATATAAAATCTATTTAATATTATAAGAAAGTTTTATTCTAAGTATTTGAAGTAGTTTATTAAACAGTCGTTTATACATACTTACTTACGCCTGTTACTCCCAATGGAGCATAGGCCGCCGACCAGCATTCTCCAACCCACTCTGTCCTGGGCCTTCTTTTCTAGTTCCATCCAATTCTTGTTCATTTTTCTCATATCTATCT